ATAACCCAAATACAAAAAAAAGTAAACATAATTAGCCTGAATTAGATTTGCAAGATGTGATACCAGGTTATAGTTACAGTACTTGATTGTATTTTTATTACTTAGTAAGTAAGTAAAGTTTATTTATATATTGTTTTTCACAGTCAAAGCACTGTACAACTGAAATGACAAAAGAATGTCGACAGAAGGAATGATTAAATAGAAAAGGTTTTAGCAGTTTTTTAAAGAGTCCACAGTCAGCTAAACTGAACTGATGCGGTCAGCTGTTACAGAGTCTTGGTTCTTTATATATATTATGTATTCTTTCAAAAATGACAATTTGATATGGAATCCATTGTTTGCTATTTTTTATTTTTTTATACCAAATGTAAGTATCTAGATCAGGATATATGATTTTAAGTTAAAAATTGTATTTATAATTTTTATGTTTAATGATTTGGCAACATTTTAAACATATGTTTAAACAGGAGAATGACAAAAACACTTACATAACACTAAATGATGGCTGGGTCTTTTTTCTTCAACAACTGGGCTTTTTTTAGAAGACAAAAATATGAATACATGAACACAGCTGAACCTTTTGTGGCAAACTGTGATTATTCCTGACACATATTTTGATGATATTGCGATCAAATTCAGAAGCAGCACAGCTTCTGCTGTAATGCTATGTGCATGAAAGCAGAATAATAGCTAAGAAGGAGTTAGAAGGGAGAAGGAGAAGGAGGTCTGCCATTAGGAAGTTTTCCCTCAAAGTCTAAATAGTAAGCAAGTTGTTAGATGTTGCTACTTTTCTAGATAATTCTAGGTAATTTTGCCTGCTCTTATTGTGTTAGTATAGATTTTTCTAACATAGTCTACATCATATTTATTCCTAAAATTATTCCAAAACTTAGGAATGACATGTTTAAAATATGTGGACAGACTTGAAAGAGGGCAGAGTTCTTCCTTAAACAGATATGAGCTGTTAAAAACCGGGAGTTGATAAAGTAATATGAATTGATTTTCTTTGTCATGCACATATTTCAGCAGGTTATTTCTCAAAAAAACAGAAGACAAAAAAGCATCAATCAGGCAGGATGCACTCTGACACCAGAGCACAGTAGATGTTTTCTATAGGCTATGTATCTTGACTCACTAGCAGTAATATTAAATAAGAAATATTCAGGATCAATTTTTGAAAAAGGGTAAGGAGACCCACGTAAATTCCCGATTATTAAGTCTTATTACTTAGAAAAACCCACGTTGACTTAAACACCACCGAAGCGGGAAACGTGTCCTCATTTCCTTGCACACTGCATATTAGCGACACCGGAAGTGAGTGTAACCAAGCAACGCCCGTCGTTGCCGTGGTAACAGTGTTGCCCTCGGGGAAGTTTGTAGCTGCAGAGGTGAAGAGCTATTCTGTGCGAGAAACGAATCTAGGCTATAACTTAGCTGTAGCAGTTGAATTCACATATTTATTTTAATCATTCATAAATAATACGAGTTTTCTTTTCTTTTGTTTTGTCAGGTGTGCTTTAACTGCCATCTTCAGTAACCGTTAGCTAGATGGAGGAGGATTTGGCCGAGGGTAAAATCACCCGCTCTCATAAACAGAACACAAGCGAAAAATGGATGTTTCTCACCCCTATGGTAAATACCGTTTTTAATAATTTTACGGACGCTTTCCAAACACTACTTAAAGTGTCGATACACGGTTATGTCTGAGCATATTTGCCTGTGTCTTATTAAATAAACGCTGTTCAATATTTCTGTAGATCAACAGCTGCAAGTTGCACCTCACGACTGTGAAATCTCTCGTGCCAGCGAGAGCACAAGCGATGGTGAGTCATTAAAAGAGCACACTGGAATAGTAATGGCTATGTAGTGCTTATAGTTTTCAAGGCGTTTAGAGGTTGGTCTCTTTATCTTTTTTCAGAGTGACTCTCAAGATCATGTAAAAGAAACATTTAACTACTCTGACCTAGGTAGGTTTGACCCACTTAACTCATTCAAGCACTCACCACCCAAGAGGATTTTGTGTGATTCAGCAGCATATTTGCATATATTAATTACTGGGCATGGCTGTGGTTCTCAAACTTTCTCTGGAGATGCCCTGCTTCAGACGACAATAAAGGTCATCTGGCATCCTAGTTTTAAAATAAGTCATCAACAATAGTAATTATCTATTTTGGATTATTCGTGAAATAAAAGTCAACATAATAGTCTCAGCAAAATCTGTTTTGTGCATTTTCCCTTCAGGGTCATATTAATTTAACCAAAGTTTACATCACACATTTCTCTGGTTGTCCACAGCCCACTTGCAGTGGCTTAAAGTCTAATCAGTGGGGCCTGCTCCGCAGTTTTAGAACCACTGACATGCAGCTGCTGTGTAAAAATGTTTTCTTTGCACTTATTTACTATATTTTATCTTTCGTAGAAAACAGTTTACATGCAGGCATCCAGAAAAGAGTTGTACAGGAACTATTTGAAAGTGACAAATGTACATATAATCAAAAAGCTGGAGCTGCCGTTTCAAATGCTGCATACAAAGCAAGACACAAAGCAAGGAGACAAACCCAGTGTACGGGGGAAACTTTTGGCCAGAATGCCTTAAAAAATGCAAAACCTGCAGGTACTTTTCAATTTAAAAAAATGATAGAATTAAGATAACCTTTACATGCACAGTTTTGTAGACATATTTTATGTTGTGCGCTTTGCTTTTAAGTGTACCCTGATTTCAGTTTGTGATATCTATTTCAGGTGATTTTCCTGGATGTAATTACAGTGCTCTGCCTGGTTTTCTCTCCACTCAATTGCCTTTCACATCCAGTTTTCAACAAATTGACTTGGAAAGGTACCCCTTATCTGCCTATGTATTCTATATTGTCTGTAAAGTGTATGTGTTGTAGTACAGAGTTGTAGTACATTGTTGTCTAGCTTAAAGTCACTGTAAGCTGGAACTATCTTTAACATGTCATATGTGTCAGCTGTTCTTTGAATCTTTTACCTGCAAAGGCATTCATATTCTTCTGACATGCTTATGCCACTGAATTTTATTAACTCATTCTGACCTTCACAGTCGTCATTTGCTGTAGGAACCATGAGACTAACTAAAATGGCAAAGGCTTAAGATTGCCACAAGGGAGCAGCAGAGTCTCTTTAAATAACTAACCAGTATCTCCAGATAAAATGGCAGTAATTCTGACTAAATATTCTACTGACGGACTGAGCAGAAATCACTTAGCTAATATGTATATTGAAAAACTGATCTAGTTATTTGAATCATTAACCTGAGCTGACAATATTTGTTTCATTAATTCTGTCACAAAAATGTATAGATTTTATTTAAAGTCTAAATCTTGTAATATGTTTTCCCCCCCAATACTTTAGACAATCTCTGGAGGAATGCCCACAGTTGGACTTTGTAAAAGAACTGCAGTTTCTCAACCTTCAGCACAATCTAATTACAAAGATCCAACATTTGTCACATTTGCAGCAGCTGGTTTCACTGAATTTGCATGACAATCACATCAGTGACATGGCTGGCATTGAAGTTCTGAGGTCTCTCAAGATCCTCATACTGGGGAAGAACAGGTTAGTTACCATGACAGGAAGTGTAAACAAACAAAGACAGCACAGATAATATTTATATTTTATAATTATAGATATTATGAAGCTTATTTTTAGTATGATAAAAACTTAATTGACTTTGACAATGTGCAGTTCAGTTGTGCTAGTGCAAGATGACCAGTTGAGTAGCTTTATTGTTCTTTTGTTAAACATCTCTAATAATATGCACAATATGCAATGAAAGTTGCAGCATTTATTAATAGTTAAAAGGGGTTCAACAGTGCTGCCATGAAAGGAAAATGTTGTTTACATTCAGCATTTAATACATTTGAATTAACTAGGTACGGCTACATGGTCAGCATCAGAAATGATTAAACCCAGTTTCATTTGAAAAGCAATCATCTCAGTGACATTTTTGGTCAGCAGGTTCAGGATCAAAGTCACATCTTTTTGACATAAAGATCTTACAGGTGAACTTTCTTTCAAACATGACATTTGTCTTTGCAAATCAGTATCTGAGGTCATAGTAACTGAACAGTAAGAAATTCCTCTACTTTATTTGTTGGCATTTTCAAAAGACCACAGCAAATTATTGTTCAGTGTTATATGATCTCCATCCACATGGAGAGCTCTGAACAATATATTACTGGATATTATCTGTACTGCTGCTGTTCCTTCAAAAACTGCAACCTTTTTAAATTTTCCTGTTGGTTTTTCATTGAGCCAGAATTAACGTGTTACGTAACTGTTGCCACTCTACAGACAAATTCTGTTTCATGTTGTGTTTTCCCATTATGTGTCACATTTTTCCTTGTACTTTGCAGAATTCATGAAATCTGCTGCCTGGACAGCTTGTCTAAACTGAATATGTTGGATTTGCATGACAATCAGGTGCTGTTCCTTTACCGTCATCCCTCCTACAGGACATGTATATTAAACAGTGTTAATTTAGTTGCCAGTGGTGTAAAGGCTGATCATGGTTGTAGGCTTCAAAGTTCAGTATGAGCGGATTGACTCTTCCGTGTTCTAAACCATGTATTAGGGGCAGTTAATTCACTTTAATACTGAGGTTTGTTTTTAAAGCCAGAAATCTGGCTCGTTGTTTTGGGCACTTAACTTCAGCTTTTCACATAGTTCACAGCACTCTAAGAGAAGAAAGCACTGAAAACCATCAGAACCCACAAGCTGTTGTCTAATACCTACTCCCACATTAATTTCCTCAGTGGCCATCGCATAATTTATCGAACAGATGGAACTGTTTTTTTTTTTAATGTTTTCAGCACTGGGTAATGTTTTGAGCTCTTGTAGATTATAGTGTTCCTAAATTAATGTATGTCTCATTCTATTATTATCTATTATTATACTGTTTTGTTCCTTGAGAACAGAGCCTGCTTAATGATATTAAAAGCCTGAGAAATAAAATTATGTCAAATGAGAATTTTAACAGCTAATGGAAAAGGAAGACAACACAGAAAGGCTTCCCTTGGTCAAATTAGTGTTTTGCCAGAATGCCGCCTACACACCTCCTCAGAGAGCTACTCCAGAGCTCTGGTAAGACTTGCTCTCTTTCTGAGGTCGGTTGCTCTTTACATGAGCAAGCATTACAGTTGCCATTCAATGATTGTTAATTTTAAGTTATTTTTCCTGACGGAGATTTCTCTGTTGCCTCAACAGTGTTGACTTGTGCTTACTAACTACATCTATATGGTTAATTTTAGCAGTTATAATCTTGCAATTGAATTAATAATGAAACTTCTTTAGCTCTTTTGCACTTATTTGTAATGCAAGCACATTATATTTAGGCTCGTACTCTGGCAGACACCTATTGTGAAGCAGATGATAAATCTATCATTCTCACAGGGCCAGTTTGTCTTTCAAACACTGAACTTAAAACCTTCTGTTTTGTGCAGCTCAATAACTGTTCAGTCATATTTTTAAGACATTTTCCAAACTCACAAGAGATCTGACCACCCAAATGTATTCTGAATTGCTGCATAACGATAATTCAAGATTATGAAGTGGATGAATTATAGTTGTTGTTTAGTGACTTTTGGCCACA